GAGATCCCTTACTTCCAGAAATGGGCGCAGCTGGCGTATCAGCCAAAGGTGATAACAGGCGCTCCTGACTGTCGCATTTACCTGATTTGTCAATAATTCAAGACCAAGAAAAAAACTACCATAGTTACAATGCCTGGTTCTAGCAATCACTAAGAATACATGGATGAACTGCCTGTAAGAAATCCACCTTTACATATCAGTGTCTGAGTTACTCTCTTCAGGCTTGTGAGGTAATCGTTTAATGCCAATGATCAGATCAATACTGAGGAGTGTAGCTGCACAATGAAGAACGGAAACTATTAACTGGTACTTACAAGATACTGATTCTAAGTATTTTTGATTTGGCAGAAGCTGCTGGTTATTCCTGAGGGCACTAGTGACTTTGAGACAGAGCTCAGGGAAAGCACTCCTTTTCTGTGTCCTACAGAGTGTTTTTGGAACAATGAGCAATACATCAGCAATCAGAGTACAAAGCATAGATATCTTTGGTGAATGGCAATCCTTTGCATAGCAAGACAAATAATAATGTAACAGGATTTCAAAGACCCCGCCTACTGGCAAAACTGATCCCATCTTTACATAAGAGTTACTCTGAATATAACTTTTATTATTCTCTTCATATTTAAATGAAGTATCATAACCTGGCCTGGTACAACTTTCTTCAAAGCACAGCTGCCCAGGTACATTTCTCAAGATGATCCTTTCCTTTACTCTGGTATAAGTAAGCTGGTCATCTTCCAGAAATTCATTCTCAGCCACTCTCAACATTTCTTTTGGATATTTGCATTTTTGGGATAATGCCAGTAAGCAATCTTCATTTTCAGAAAGCTTTTCCATTTTAAACTCACAAGGCTTCAGTTCCTTGGTGATGGCTTTATCACTACTGCAATCACTGTGCATTTCTACACAATGCTGCTGCACAGCTGGGTACTGCTGATGATTATCCGCAGTAACTGAAAGATTTTGATTGTCAGGTTTTGAATTACAATGCTCAGTCAGATGGATGGATGTAAACATATGCTGCAGCATTTTGAATGCTCCATGAAAAGCACAAGCATGCTGCTCAGTAAGTCCATGTACTGGTCCACAGAAAATCACATAGCAAGGCTGAAGGGCACAAGTTCTCGCAAAGCTAATGTGAACAAATCTTTTGGTACCAATCTGTAATGGTTGGCAAAATTTTGCTACAGCGGTTTCAGTGATTTTATTGCAAATATTGTCTAGAGATGGCCTAAAAGGGGAAATGTTGGTGATTCTGCATATAAGAGAGATTTCTTCTGCTGACAAGCACTCTACAATACATATGCCATTCTTTTTTGCACAGTAATGAACAGTCTCCTGTTGTTTTACACTTGACAATAGTACTCTGATGCTGTTGTCCTGCATGTGCTTCATTAGTGCTTCTGTCCTTTTTGTAATCCAGAGTTCAGATACCTCGTACTGACTTTCATTGTTTATGGCAACTTCTACACCCAGCTCAGAAAAAGAAGAGTGGATAGGCTCTGTTATTATGATAACCTTTTTGTCACCATCTGCAGGACAGTATACAGCAAAGTCTCTAGGAAGAACAAGTCCATCTAGGATCTGTGAACTTGAAACAGACAGTCCTGTCACAGTAGTATGCAGCTCAGGAAAATATTCATCTACCAAAGGCAGTACTTCTTTCCTATCTTTATCAGCTGTAATTTTGAAGAAGAAATTACAGGCCAATTGGCTAAGAAATTTTTGCCTATTATATCCTACTTTTCCACAGAAATAGGGTTGTAGTACCAACTCCAATGTCCTCCTATTTATTTCTGCATCAGAAACAGAAAAGATAGTTAGAAAATGCTTTCCAAGTTTCTGAGTCACTATGTGGTCCAGGATGTCTGCTTGGATCATAATAAGAAACTGAGAAATTTGCTTCATTATGTAACATTTTTTTATATAGTTATTTCTTCC